TGAGACCATTCAGAAATATTGGGTTGAACAACGCTGGACAAATCCAACTGGCAAATATATATATGTAGTAAAATGCATTTGTTAAATTGTTTTCAACAGCAAGAATGCTTCCGATATGCAAATATGCAGCCAGCTAAATCATCATTATATTGATTTCAAATTTTGGCCTCTGTCCATTGGCCATTAGGAAAGTGAATCTGCCTGAATGCAATTTGTGGAGTAGAAGGCATAATAATTGCATTCATTCCCGTAGGCTTCTTGGCATGTTGTGGATTTATGCTAGTGAAGGTTTTAGGCCGCAACTGATTCATGTTAATGGGTTTACCAAATATTTGCAGCACTTCAAAAACATTATGTTGATTATTAGCCATGTTTGGCTTCGCTGTAAAACACTCATACGTGCTTGCAGTTGGGGAGTCAAACAATCAAAATAAAAATGAGAACGAGTTTGAATACGCCAGCCGTGTATGCTCGGCTCGGGGATACCCTGTGTTGAGAGACATAAAAGGGAAAGACAAAGAAATGCGTTCCCTAAGCTTTTATGAAGAGGAAACATAATTCGCCAAGGGCTTATGATCGTTTCAGCAAAATCTGTGCACATGTTTTTTTATCCACACAATGTTACGGGTATGATAAATCAAAGCTACTCACAGATTATTGCTAATGTCGTATAAAAAATGTAATATACGAATTAGCTGTATGGTATACGCATGCTTCAGTGCGATTCACTTTCATTCACTTTCCAATTGGTATGTCATTCATTTGATTCGTTTTTATGGGTATAGGGTATTATAACTAAACTGGACGTGTTTGCAACGAACGAATGGGAGACGTGACGGACGTGATGTTTACGACTGTGTGAATACAGCAGCCCCCCAAAGCATCAACATAATTTGCACTGGCAAAGGGCAAATGGACTAATAGCAAACTAAGCAATAAGCCTCACATAGGAGTCGTGCGTTTAGCCAGCGATTGTCACCGACAGCAACTGTCATAACCAAAGCTGCCAGCTGTGAGTTGTGTGCTTCAACCACTTTGGCATTCATATGCATATTCCTGGCACCACCACCACTCAAAGTCACCCGATTGCCCAGGCAACTACGTGACAATGTCAAGCCCCAAGGAGTGTCGCGCAAACTTTGGCGCCTCAAACTTGTCGCACATATGTTGCCTAGACGGCACACGGTGAAGGCGTGCATCGGTGCTTCTCTCTGAGCGCCGCATGGTCGGGCTGCCTTTCGTAGTGTAAATATTTAAACAATAATAAGTTGGCGGAAAAACGCAGGAAAACTCTTGTGTTGTCGCGCGACAAAATAGCGAAAACTTTTGTTATCTTTTCACCATGAAAACGGCACAAAATGGGTGGAGCTGGGTGGCATGGTCGGAGGGCCCCGAACGTGCACTAACCGTGTTTAGGGGTAGGACAGGTAGAATAAGTATACGGCAAGTGTGACGCATATACAGTCTGTTTGTCTATGCTGCGATATATCGCATTTCATGTTTTCAATTAGCGTTAATGTCAGCGAGACGCTGAACTGAAATCGTATATGGAGCCAGGGGCGGTCGATAACATGTATTGATTACAATATTTAACTAGCAATTTTAATTGACTCGAACTCTAATCAATTTCAATGCAACGAGTACTCTTGCTTGGAATGCATGAATTGTTCGCAGGTAAACTTTGCGGGTTATATTGGATTAAGTTTTAGCATTGAAATCAATATGTTTAACGTAGTTTCCATTTGTGTATTGCTGGCAGGTAAACAAATTAAATTTATTAATGGTGCAAGAGAGCTGGCCCCTTAGTTAATTGAGTAGTTTCTCCCAGTAATATTCCTTTGTGCGCTACATAGTATGTAAATTGTTACATAAAGATAAAAAAGGGTTTGTATTTATGCTCTAGCTGCTGTATAAATATTGTCATAGACGACACACCCAAACTACGCGCGGCCCAACAAGTCATTTGCATAAATGTCAATCATACGCCGAGTGTACCACAAATGGTGTACCCTGTGCCGCATAACTTGGCAACAAAAGTACACAAACATATTCGTGTATGGCTTTTTCGTTATTTCTACACCAAAGCCATCCCGCCTTCTTTCGCTGTACCACCTCTACACAAAGACTCTGTTGGCAAAGTGGCACGGCATTGAGAATTTCGCTACTCGATTTGCGTTTTATTTCAAAATTGAATTTCAGCACTGATTATGTATATGTATTTTTCGGTTCTCAGCTCCCGTGGGGTATTCACCGTACGGTTAGCTTGCTGTTCGAACTCGTTTGCGCTTTCTCTGTCTATCCTTCATTTGCTTGCCTGGGGTGCATAAATAAGCAGCACTCAATTATTCGTGTTGTGGCTGAAGCTATATTCGTAATCCTTTATCCTTATACCTGTGACGTGCTGATTTGATTTGCTTTGCAATTTATTGTTAAAACATGCCAGCAAACAAACACATACTCACTTTCTGTCTCTCTTAATCTCACGCTCTGTCTCTCTCTATGCTTATCACTTATGCTTAAGCTTAGATTCACATAAGTCATCTATATAATATTGGTCTGATAAACGCCTTATACGCTATATGTTTATGCTAATGTTCGGCAAAAATCAATTTTAGATTTGCTGCGCCACTTATTCAGCATTCGGATTAAATTTCAAAAAGCGTCTGTTGCGATACTTATTGCTGTACATGTAAATTGAGCACAAAATAAACTGAAATGTTTGCTGTTGTTGTCTTTTGGCTCGAATTTCAAACCTTGGGCCTGCCACTCCCACTGGCTGGCGCAAAACTTCCGTCCACATTGAAATTGTTCATTTGAAGTGAAGAGAATTTTGTCTGCATTTCGTTTGACTGAGAGCATTTAATTGTGGTCCATTTCAATTTTATTTGCAAAATACCCTTGAGGTTTCTGGTTTAACATTTAATTACAAATATTTGTTAAACAATTTTCACTCTAAGCCTTCTGACATTCGAGATTATTTTCGCTTTTACCCTTTCGGCCCGTTTTAAATGATCAGCTCATTAAGAAGGGAAATATCAAAAAATGTTTAAATACTTTAAGAGCGTTTAATATTCTATATGATATGTGCACGTGTTGATGTTGTCACTGGCAAATTGAGTGTATTAATTATATTCCATCCATACAGAAAGTTGGACAAAAATATATAAAAATTAGCAACTTTTATTTCACTTTAAGAGTAATTAAAAAAAGTATAAAAACAACGTTAAAAATTAATAAAAAATATGCCATGAGCAACAATTATCGAAAATACAATGATGATAAAAAACAAAGTCAATTTTTCATCCACATTTAAATTGATGAGAAAAATGTCAACAACAGGTTTCCGGAGTTAATCGAAAAGCGAAAATAAAAACGAATTCGAATGTTTTTCCATTGAACCAACTGAAGCATGAAGTACCAGGTGCGAATCCAAGCCCACGGCTTGGATGTTTTTAAATTATTAACAGAAACCATAATAGTTAACATAAGAATAATAAGTTTGTATTTGCTAAAACGAATTAAAATAATGCCTTATCGAGCTCCTTTTATAGCATTATATAAGAGCAAAATATCCCCGAACAGTGCGAAAATATTGAGAGCTAATGTAGTTTATATAAATATAAGAAGAGTCCCAGGATTCATGTGTTTGGGCCGCTCGCTTCAAAGAACTGGGGTAAGATCTTAACGGACAAGACAGTTTTGATGTGGGATTATGGTTAATGCTGCCATAAGACTGTTAGATAGAATAACGGGCTATCTATAGATGTGTCTTATTAAAATTCAGTTTCAAATGAATATCTTATTATTTCTGCGTCTCTTCAAACTAATTATACATGAATATATATGTTTCACATATATTTTTATTTTCTCGTGAATTTTCCCTCATACATACTCCATATTGTTGTTTGGTAACAAAATGTCAATTAAGTGGGCCACTCTGGTCAGCTGTATTCTCTCCCAATTGGTTGCCCAGTCCTGCACCTACGTATATGAACAACGCGTCCTGGTTGTCGTTGATCGCCGCATTTAAATAGCATCATTGCCTGCGGGATATATTGGTCACCTTTGCTGACTCTCTGACAGACAATCAACCCAGTGACAATTGCACTTCTGACAATTCACGGCCTGGCATCTGTAAACCTTATTAATAAGCCTGAAAATTCAATATTATAATGCATACATACCAGCACATACGTATGAGGCAACTACTCACAAAATTGTGTACTGCATATTGTGTATGTATGGCAAAGTGCACCGCAGGTTGCAATATAATAAAATGTAAGCCGAGAAACCTTTATGGTTTAAAGCAACAAAAATGAAATACCCTTGTAGACACATGGCCTTGCAGATATGCTAGGCGAATTGTGCAGCTGGTCAATCTATATCTAGAAAAACCGAACATATTCCCATGCAAAACTCGAAACCCGATTTTGCCTTCAGATTATAAGGTATGGTGGATATGAATATGGAAAAAATTGTTCAAAGAAGAACTTATCCCTTGACCGATTATTCTTATAGCAGCTACAACATATTAACTATTCTAGAAGGGTATACAAATGTAGTATCGATCTGAGAGCATATCCATTTGTAATCTCAATATATGTATTTAAAGTATTGGAAAAAATTCTTTCTCGCTTAATTGGAAGGTACTGAATTAAATTTCACAGCGGCTTTTTATTTAATGAAAATCATTAAAGTCTGGAGAAGTAACTCACAGTAAAGTCACGAAGCTCTATCGATCGACTTCTGTGCAGTTAACTAAAAAACCATCTATCATCAATGTTTCCAAGCAATTAATTACTAATTCAAAACTAATTTTAAAAATCAAAAATTAACAATGCTAACTTTTAAGATGCGTGAAATATTTATTTAAAATGACAAGGCGCCAGCTAGCTTAAAATACGTATTTATTTTGAATTAGCAGCAGGTATTTTTTTTTTATTGTTCATAAATGGGAAAAATGTATATAAACATTGATTAATGTTTTTAAAATTCCTTAAATTTATTTTATAGAGCTCTTTATTCAATTCAAAGCTCATAGCAGAGCTTTTAAAATCTCTTGTCTCCGTTTCCGTGTTTCATTATGTGTTTGTTCCCCATTGTATGTCGATTTTCTTCTGCATACGTTGAGGGGAGGCTAAAAGTGGGAAATGAGATGGACATAAATTGAATGCGGTCTCATTGAATGGTCGCTAGATTGGTCGTCCAATGGTTAACCCAAATGGCAGCAAATTAGAAGTGAAGTGTTTTGCGCTTGTTCTAATTCTTCGCCTCGCTGCCTGTTGAAAAATCGAAGTCGCTTTCACTGCCGGCTCCAGATGCGGCGGTCGCTGCTCCCGCGGGTGCACCAATGTTCGGGGTGGCTGTGGGCGCGGTTGGTTCCTGGGCTGGTTTCGCGCTTGAGCTATCATCCGTTTCGCTGCTGTCAACGAAATTAACGCGCTTCTTCTTCTTTTGCTGCTGCTGCTGCTGATGCGTATCATTAGGCGTCGCTTGTTTGTCTGTCGACGCAAGTATCGATGTGGGCTTGACCGGCTTGGCGATGGTGTCGGGCGCCACTGGTGAGTGAGTGGCTTCAGTTTTTGCGTCGTTCCCTCCAAATGACGGGGCTTGCTCCACTTCCTGTGGCAAAACCAGCTCGGCCGCTGCGCTGTTGTTGTCAGACATCGGATAGGCGGCTTCCTGTTGTACCTCTTGTTGAGGCTGTTGTTGCAGCTGCTGCTCGCCATAGTAGTCATAATTTGTTGCTGCGACATCATAGTCCTGACCCGCGTAGCTGCCATCCGGGGCATACTGCTCGGCATTGGGATCGGCTATGTACTGGCCAGTTGCCTCATCGTATATGTAGCCCGGGTAGGCATTGGGATCATAGCCAGCTGTGTATTGAGCGGCATCGTAGTTGCTATAATCCATATTGGAGTACTCCTGTTGTGCTGCGGCTGTCGCAGCCTCAGCTTCGGCCTCGCTTGCTGCATTTGCATCCGCTACATACTGCTGATAGTCTGCGGGATTTCCGATTTCACTGTACAGCGGCTCGCCCGTGACGCTTGCCGGCTGCGGTAACTGTTGCTGTTGGGTGGTCTCAATGCTGGCATAGCTAGGCTCACCTGGCTCCATATAGCTATTGTCATCGTACTGCCCGTAATCGATCTGAGCCCCATCATGTGTTGGTGTTAGTCGCTGCTGTTGCTGCTGCTCCTGCAACTTTTCTACCTCCACAGCACTCATCTGTTCCCCCTCATGTTGCTCACCTTGATTCTGCTGGTGCTGCTGCTGCTGCTGCGCCTGCGATGCGTTGGTTGCCAAATTCTCAAATAATCCCTGCTTTGGTGCTGGTGCTGCTGCAGCTGCTGCCACTGCTGTTGCTGCTGCTGCCGCCTCTGCAGCTGCTCTGGCTGATATCGCAGTGGTTGTTCCTGTCAAACGTTCGCCGTAAATGGCATTTTCAATATTCTCAATCGACACTCTGGGCTTAGCGAATGGCTCATTGGTTGCCAGTGGCGACAATTGATTACCTCGTGCTAGCTGCTCATCAACCGCAGCCGCTGCCTGCTCCAGAACTGCACGACTGGCTTTGACCTCGTCAAGCAAATCGTTGCTGATGCCACCAACGAGGCCGCCAATGGCGCCACCGCCTCCAACTGTGTTCATTTCGCTCGGACGCACGCTTAGCTCCATTTTGTCTTCAAACTGGTCCATTGGCCGTGCTATTGTTGCTGCTGGCGCTGTTGTTGGATGCCAGGGCTCATCGATTTTCAGCTCGCCAAAGTATGCGTCCAAATCGTGTTGCCTTCGCTCCTGATATTGCTGCTGTGGCTGCCGGCGTGGCTCATTATAGCCAGCGACACTTGGCGATATTTCATGCTCGCCTCTAGTCACGCGTGAATTTGGCCAAGCTTTCTGCTCCAGTCCTGGCTGGCTTTCCCTACACAACTGCGCTGCCTCTTGCGGTCGGTCGTCGACGTCATCGTTGCCAGCGACAGCTGCAGCCGGCAGCTCAGTCAACGCTGCCGTCTTTGGCAATTTATCAAATGTCAACGAGGATGTTGCCAATGTTGAGGATGTGCTACTCAGCTCCCGTGCACTCATGTCTTTCGGTGAGCATGGTGTTGACATCGTCGTCGTTGTCGTCGTGGCTGTTGTTTCTGTTGGCGCTGCCCTGTCAGCATTGCCATATTGAGATTCAGTCGCTGAAAGAGCAGCCACATCAAAGTGCGTCATGCGCTCCGGCAAATCAGCATTTTCATTGTCCAGGGCGCGCAATGTGGCACGCAGGTCGAACAGATTGGAGGTGCCCAGCGTCTGTCCGCCGCTCACACCAGCACCAGCACCAGCACCAGCTCCAGCCCCGCCATACAGATCTGGGTAGGGCATATAAATGGGCTGAGGCATTGCCTGTGTAGCTAATAACATACCAGTTTGCGTGGGTGTGGGCGTGGCCATGGCGAAAGCCCATTGCTGTGGCGATGCAGCCGTCAATGGAATAAGCAGAGGTTGCTTTTGATTTTGATTAGGAGCTGGTGCCTGAGCAGAAGCATCAGTTGTTGCTGTTGGATTCGACACAGCCGCTGCTTGTGGCTGTATTAGGACAGGAATTGACAAAGGCGTGCCTCCTGTGGTAGTTGTCTGTTGTATACAGCGCAACGTTTGGTTCTGAACCAATTTTGCAAAGTACATTTGGTATTGCAGCTGCAAGTCGATATGGGCAAGAGCATGACAAAGCCAAACACATGGACATAAATTAAAGTTTCTGGTGGCTGACTTATTGACTGCACCTGTGACTCACCTTCATCATTTTAAGTCGCTCGCTGCGCTGCGACATCAGAGCAGTCTGCTCATCAATACGTTCCAGCATCTGTACAAGCTTTTTGTTTCGTTCGTTGCGCTTGCTCTGCTCCTCTAAAAATTCCTGGTACTTCTGACGTGATTTCTGTCGCACGCACTTCTCGCTAAAGCAGACCAGTTCTCGATATCAGTATTGGCACAATGCATAAGGCAGTTCTTACTTACAGTTCGCTGCGTTTCTGTAGTACCTTGTCCAATTTATGCTCCAGCTGCTGGCGATTGTCCTCGCTGCGAAAAAGAACGACGAGATAAACAGTCCATTAAATAAGCAGAGTCTCGTATCTATATCTTATTTTGACCTAGATATAAACAATTAAAATTGCATTCGAAGTATCGATAACTTTTCCCGTTTCTACGAAAACGATCAAGGAATATGCCACAGAGCTAAAAGAAAGAAAATGTCTGGTACGAGGATTCGCTGTACAGTGTATTTCCCAGTCTGACTTTCTACTGGATTGGGAAGCAGCAGATATGCCTTTTTACTTATGTATTCGTACAAATTCGAATTTGAGGATTCTCACTGTCTCAATAATAATTCAATGCTAATTATTTAATAGTTTCACAGACCTGCGACGAAGTTTCTCCTGAAGCAGTTCCACTTGCAGCTTGTAGTTTTCCAGCTCGGCCTGGGGAAACATCTCGCTCTGAAATATAGACTCGTCGTCCTCGTTCTCGCCGTCCAACTGCCACTGTTAAACTGCACTCCACTGTTGACACAGTTTGCGTGGCACCGAGCGCAATAAACGCGGCATTGAGAGTTATTTTTAAAGCAACTTTATTTGAATAGCAGAATAAAACGAGTTTGTGTCCACGTGTGTGCTCATTGTGTGTGCCTGTACCTTTTTATACTCTTCTAGAGAGTATTCTAACTTTGTCATGAAATGTGTAAAGGAAACATCTCCGACTCATATGATGCAGCCTTGCGTAGCTATAAGAGGTCCCAACAAGTTGTAAGATACCTCAACCAAACTTGACGTTTACGGGTTATCTTACACTAATCACATATCACCTAAAGCTTGTCAAAATCGGAGTACTATCTTTATAGCTCAATAGAAAGAATCGGTAGAAAATGAGTTTAAGTATAGACATAGCCGAAGATGCCTGCTTCACGGGCTTCAAAATTCGCCTCACATATTTGCTAAGCCGCAAGCCACACAGCCTTAAGGGTATTTAAAATTCGACGTGCCGGAAATTGACGTTCTTTCTTGTTTAATGTATGTTTGGCATTTGTTTATTGAGTCGCGTTGTCATGACTACCTCATTTCTTAGCTCTGTTTTTTTGGTGGTTGATTGGCATTGGCCTGGGCGACAGGCGACTAGCTACCGGCGACAAGACTGCGGAGTGACCTGCCCTTATTGATTTTACTTTGGCCCTTTTTGGCTTTTGCCACACAATGCAGCAAGTAATGAGAGCAGCAAACGAACTTTCGATTTTGCGCTTCAGGAATTGCCCATGCTCCTGAATAAGCAGCACAATGGCTTGGGCATTAATTACACATTCAGCAAGTAGGTCAGTTTTGGGTGGGCATTTTTTAAACTTTTGCCACGCCCCACCAGGAAAATGCTGAGAATCGTTGGGGCTAGCCAGCGCATTTGTCATGCATTGCACGAGATTTGCCTGCACGAGCGACCGCAGCTTCTGCAGCATCATATACCCCCGCAATCCACTCTTAAGGGTGGGCAAAAACACATGTTGTTCCCACACACACACACACCCACACAGGCTCACTCGCACTAAAGTTGGGCAGCCAAGCGTGCGGCACCTGAATGTGAATTATTGGTAGCGTCTATCACTTGCCGGCCGCAGACAACAACGCACTGACATATTCACACAGTCACCATCATGGCCAGAGCCGCGACATCATCAGTCGGTGAACACGGACACCGCCGCCTGCTCCTATTACCCCCCTCCACAATGGGTCGGCTTGGTTTTCGCCTGGCATATGCTGTCGTCGTCACGGTGTCGTGGTTGCGGCTCGCAATATAAAATTTTTGGGCAAACTGAAGCAGGCAGCATAGGTACGGCTGGTTATGTACGGATATGCAGAGTATGAGGTTATGTGTCCACCTTTCTGGGTGTGTGTCTCATACATATATTGGGGAATAGCCTTTAGGGGTAGTACGTACTTCAATATGATTACCTATAACGACCCTCGATTAAATAAACAAATTTATTGAATTTTACGTGGAAACGATCGGTTAAATTTGGATTCTGCTAAGAACTACTTTAATTTTTGTACGATATATTATCTTCGCAGCTCAACACTTTTAACATACAATGACATGCTTACATCTAATACATTCTAATATGTGAAAGGAAGAGCGTTTTAATCTTCGGCGTGATAAATTTAAATAACCTTTACTATTGTTTTTTATTTTTAACATTTAAATATTTGTTAAATGTTTTTTGAAGTACTTCATAAGGCTAAAAAGCCTTAATAAAAAGAAAATGCCTTGAGGTTTGCTTGGTGAATTTTTGTATTTATGCCTTAAGGCTAAGTCTCCCTGAAGCTTGTTATATACATAACATATATCTGTACACAGTTCGAAATAAAACTAAATAGTGAAATATTTACTCAAGTTGAAACTACCTTTCATTAAATGCCTTAATTTACATAGATTAAACCCTAAATTTAAATTGTGAGTCTGCAAATGGTTATCTATGTCATTTTCTATTCCTTTCTAAAACGTATACTTTTCCTTTGTCAAACTTAATACGTGATTGGCCAATGAACTGAATTTGTTGTACAATAATTTTCATATAATTGACCAACCAAATATAGTTGTTGCTAAGCAACAAGAGTTAATGAACCGCCATATGATATCAATGCGAAAAATTAAAACACATATTTGAGTTGAATATTGAATATTTTGGGCATGACGCGCAATATTTATTTGAAATTTGGGCAGCAATCGTCAGCAGAGGTTACTAAGAGGTCACAGAATTAACCCTGCATTAAGTCCAACTGGATTCTATAGTTACACAGTTTCCGCTTGTATATGTCACGATTTGGTGCTAGCCAAAAATTTGCATGGAAACTTTTGTGGGGTTCTAAAGGAAAATTGAATATTTGGCCAGAGCGAATTTATGTGTATGGCTTTATGCTGCAAATGCCAGACTTTGTGAGTCTATGGTGTGTGTGTGTGTGTGTGTGTGTGTATGAATGGCTGTGTGTATATTCTGCTTATCAGTCGCTGCACAGCATACTTTTTGGCGCATTTAATTTCAGCAGAAGAGGCGAACTCTGCGCCTTTTTCCGATTTGCAGTCAATGAAGCAGAAAACTGAAAACTTTTTCTTTGCAGTCTATTAAAAATAATGGCCGCTGACAGCGAAGCCACTCGCCAAGTGCGAAAGACGCCACATGCAGTCGCCATGTGTATAGCAGTATGTGTGCGAGTGTGTTTCTCAGTGTGTGCGCAAGACAGTAGCTGGCATTAAATTAATATATATGTGTATACTTTGGGTAATTTCTCATATCGGTCCATTCATAGACGCTGCCGTTGCAATGACCATTTGCGGTTGCCTTTTAATGCCCCTATCTGAACTGTAGGGCAATTGTGCCTCTTTGGGGCAAAGCACTAGAAATTAATTGAAAATTCCTATATATATTTCAATATATAAGGTATTGAGTTATATAATATATACATAAGTGATATATGGCATAAATAGGGCTATGGCTCAATCTAAATATATTTGAAATTTTATGCTTTATGCCTTCTTTCCATTAATGAATATGGGTTTGTTAATTTGAATTTATCCCAATTCACAATGGATATATATATATATATATATATATATATATATATATATATATATAACATTTTTAAATCTGCAACGGAAAGACGATCCTTCCACGCATTGGCTAAGTGCAAGTCGAAAGGTGATCTGAAAGATGGCTTTTAGCTTTCTGGCCGGGAATGATGAAGAAATGTCCGCTAGTTGTATAATAAGAGGATTTGTAGAGCAGAGCAAAAATTAAAAGCTCTGGTAATTATTAAAGTAGCAACTGCTAATGTAAATGTTAAAAAAAAATAAAAAAGTTACTGCTAATGCATTTTAAAATATAAATAAAAAAGTAACTGAGAACTTTTATACTTTTACCCATTTTTTTTCAGCGATGTTCAGTACTGCTTACTCAAATTATAACAAATTTATTTATATATTAATATCCTGAAATATTTTATAATATAATTTAAGGTTAAATCTCCCAGAATCGTTCAGCCTTAAACGGAATTCAGTCAGTTCGATTAACTTAAGTGAATCCTAATGAATCCAATTGCAGGGCATTCAATAGTCGCACACGCGTAGTTTTCTTATCTGTACTTATTTTTTGCCCTGCCGCTGCTGGCACGGTGAAAAAATTACCGACGAACAACGCGCAGCAGAGAGCAGGTTTTGTGGTTAATGCGATAATTTAATTGTAATGCGGGTCTGGCGTCTTGGGTGCCAATAATTTAAGTTGCAATCAGCGCGGCATTTATTGGGTTAAACGTAGAAGAGAGCGGGGCAAACGAGGTAGTGAAAAGAAGGAAGACACAGACTCACATGCTAGTTGGCTAGCCAAGAAGTGAATGAACCCAAAGGAAAAGCCGGAAAGGATACAGAACAAGAGCTGGCAAATAAATTCAATGACTGCTCCTGCTGCAGCCGTTGTCCTATAAAGGCGCCAGTACGAGTTTCGCATTTTTGCACGTAAGCGCAGGGCAAGAGGACAAAGAGAGCAAATGCGTAGCATACTTACTGGCGCTTGGCCAAGCAGAAGGAGACATAGAAACTTTGAACGGGAGAGAGTGTTGCATTACTTTTGGCCAACGAACGGTAGCCATGACAACGTCAAATATTTGATATCGATAAACCAGTCAAGTAGCTGTGCCTCGGCTTGCAGCCAGTTCTAATGGAAGCGTCGCTGGTGACTGCATTGACTGAGGAGGAGCAAGCGGAATGGCAACGCCTGATGCTGGCTGTCACCTACAAGGAGGCCATTGATAAGCTCATGCTGTTGCAGCGCTCACACCGTTTGAATATGCAAAAGCCGAACCCGCGTAAAAATCGCACACGCAGCTCCTCCATTGGGCAGCCGGCGTTGTCTGAGCGAGTTCTGCTCACGGGCAAAAAGCTGCCCAGGTTGGAGTCGCTGCTAGGCGACACGGATCAGGAGCCCGACACGGTGGACGAGTGTGTGCTAAATGCCCTGAAATATGAAAATGATATAGATGCATTGCGCTCATTTTTCACAGCTGCTAACCAACAGCTCTACATGACCAAAGAGGAGCTGGAAAGTGAAAATCCAAGTCGCCTGGAGCTCGCCATTGGCGCACTAAGCGGAAGTAATAGCGAAGAGTCTGTGGCACTCAATCAGCTACAGCAATCCAAAGACGAGATAAAGCAACTGCAAGCGCAACTGGAGCAGGTCCAGATTGACGGTGTGGCCCAGCTGCGGCAGTTGGAGGAGCGCACTGCCGATGCCAAGTATAATTTAAAGTGTGTTTCGCGCGTTAACGATCTGGAGTACAGCCTGGTAGAGCGCTGGGAGGCGGCACGCGTGACTCAGGCAAAGATTTGGGGCGAAAATGCCGAGCGGGCTTATTTGCGCGACATACTCGACTACAAGCAGCGTCTGAAACATGAGGAGCGCGTCAGCCAGGAGCTTGCCGCCTTTCGCAATCGGGAGCTGGCCGACCTGAAGGAACGGATTGCATATTGGCAGCAGCGCTATGTTAGCGAGCTACGGCGCGTCGAACGTGAATCGGAGGCATGGGAGCTGCGCATTCTGGAGCAGAGCAAATCTCTAGCGCATCACCGCGAGCTGAACGCGCAGCATTTGGAGTTTGTGCGTGAGTATTCCGCCAAGAAGCAGGAGGAGCAGCGCCTGCTTCAACTACAGGTGCATCGCATCGAGTGCGCTGTCAAATTACAGGCCTGGTGGCGCGGCACAATGGTGCGACGCGGCCTGGGACCCTTCAAGAAGAAGCCAAAGCGCGGCAGGCGGCCAAAACAAAAAAAGTAAACGAATAAAATGCAATCCAACAACAATTGAACCCATCTTTGCCTTATGGAAATCAACTTGTACCTTAAAACCAATTAAAAAGTTGGCTCGCTGCAGTTAACGCGTCAGCGGTCAACGGCTTACGTCAGCCTTAATGGCATGCCGCCATTGTCAACAGCCTTGGCCATTGTTTACGCGCTGCTAATGGGCCAGCAGCCATCACACTGAACCTGCCACTACCAGCAGCAGCAGCAGTGGCAGCAGCAGTGGCAGCAGCAGTGGCAGCAGCAGTGGCAGCAGCGGTGGCAGCAGCAGCAGCGGCAACTGCAACAGCTTTTGCCCAGCTGAAGTTGAAGTTGCTATTAAAGTTCTTTCTTTTTTTTTCTTGTTTTTATTTTTTGTTCATATTGCTTGGCTGCATGGCGCCATCCAAGTGGTTTCCAGTGGCAACAATGGCCTCAGTGGCAGTCAGGCGGGCTGGCAGTAGGACAGTCAGATTGTTGTTGTTTTCGTTGCTTTCATTGTTGTCGCTCTGTTGGTGCATGGAGATAAAAAGCGACAATTTGCCCGCTGAATGGGTGCAACTTTCTCTCTGTCAGGCTGGGCAAAAGCCCCAAGCTGCCCATGTTTGTTTGTATATTCATTGTAATTTAAAATATAATTAATGGCCGTTGCCTTAATTTATTGAATTTGCATGGGCGCCGAGAACGTTGCCATTTTTTGTTTTCTCTCTGTCTCCCTCGCTCTCTCGCTCTGTCCTTATCCCTCTCTCAGTCTTTTTCCATTTGCCTTCCTGCCAGTTGGTTATTGTTTGGCTTAATGCTCACTTTTGTTTTATACTCTGCCACTTGCAACAACAATAACATCCCAATAATGACTGCCGCAAGTCCATTTTGTTGCAAGGCCTTTTGTCTATTTGCTGGCGGATGAATTAATGGAAGATGGCGCGAGAGGAATACGTAACGTGTTACCAACCACGTATCGCACAGTAACAATTTTATACTGACATATACATATACATAAACATATCCATATACATATACATATACATATACATATACATATACATATACATATACATATACATATACATATACATATACATATACATATACATATACATATACATATACATATACATATACATATACATATACATATACATATACATATACATATACATATACATATACATATACATATACATATACATATACATATACATATACATATACATATACATATACATATACATATACATATACATATACATATACATATACATATACATATACATATACATATACATATACATATACATATACATATACATATACATATACATATACATATACATATACATATACATATACATATACATATACATATACATATACATATACATATACATATACATATACATACATATACATATACATATACATATACATATACATATACATATACATATACATATACATATGCATATACATATACATATACATATACATATACATATACATATACATATACATATACATATACATATACATATACATATACATATACATATATACAGAGAAAAGGAAAAGAAAATGATCTTCGGTGCTTTAACGAGAATTATATATGCATTATTGAGTAAGCCATGTCCAATATAAAATTTAGTGACCAATCAATAATAATATAGTTTTTTAATAAAATATTTAAGTATCCATAATATTTTTACGATCCTTATTTCGAGTACCCGAACATTATGCACTGCACTTAGCTCTTAAAGTTATAAACATATATTTAATATGGTTCATAAATTAGTGAGACTGAAAAAAATATAGAGACTGCAATAGACAAATATTACTTGTTATTCTATGTACTCATAACCTGTAGTAAATGGTTAGCTGCAAGCCAGGAGGGCTTAAGTCACTTTTGCCCTATAATCTGGGGATCTACTTGGAGCGAAAAACTTTGCAATTGAGCACTCTCGGCTAGTTCCAGTTAAAGTCGACTACCGAAAGGAGCTTGTACCCGTGCCCGCTGTCTGTTGTGTGCATTAGTTAAAACATACGAAAACAAACGGTCGCTGAAATCCTTTAAAAATGGCGGACGCAAGGCTGCTTGTCCCAAGAGAAAAGGGGCGCCGAACAGGGCTCCCCAAAATTTACATACAAATTAGGGTTAATGGGCAGTGAAATTGTTATTTAACTTCGGCTGCCCGTTTGGTACTTTAAATTGCGCAACGCTTTAACCAGCCGTGTTTTAAATAACCACGCAGTTTGCGACACGTTTTGGATATTTGTAGTGGCAAGGCAAATCCTTGAGGTATGTAAGGATTATGAGAAAGGTCGAAGTGCTTGCAAAATATTTGCACGCATAAATTAATTGAATATCGTGTATGCGCCACGTGCTCAAATTAATTCTTCTCTCGTTTTTTTTTTTTTTTTTGCCAGCAGTCACTCACAACGTTTTATTTAAAATTTAATCAAACACTTTAATTTGATTAACAACGCACGTCTTTCAATATAAATTTATGGCCGCACGACGCATAATCAAAGACCAGATCCTCTACTGACCAGCCATAAAAAAGGGTTAGCTCACCACCCCGCCGTCGCTCCATTTTTTAGTCTCGTCACAGCTTTCAACACTCCAACGCCGTCATTTGATATGCGTGCGTGACGTGCTGGCCAGGGGGGAAAAATGGTGTCGATGCTTTAACGTCTAATAGCAACACGTACATCTGATAAAATATTTTATTGGCATGTGTGGCGCCCGTCCTGTCGGTCAATTTATTTTATAGATTTTTTAAATGCCTTCGCACTGCGATATGATAACTTGCGAGCCGTATTCGCTATACTTGGGTCATCATTCATATTTTTTTAAGCGCATCTTAATTATTAAGGAATTAAGGATTAAGGATTAAGGAATGACAAAAATAGAAGAATTCAGTTAGTAAAACACACTAGACCCATGTGGTTGATTTTTATCCTACAAATATTTTTTGTTTAGTAAAACTTACAACTGTAGTCTTAATGTCTTAAATGAATTTTCATGAAGATCCTTTGCGATGAGTTAAATCTAGAAACTGCGCTCACCAAATATTTGACTTCCATTTCCCCCAAGTAGGGGTAAACTTTGCGAAAAGTGGGAAACACTTCTCAAATGAACTTGATTAAAGTTTTTGGAAAACGTGAACAAGTGTTTTTCGCTATTTTCCACACCAGAGGTTACTACAGGGCTGTGCGTTGGTCACCAGTTAGTCAGCCAGTCGTTACAAACCATTTATACAGAGAAATGATATGCTGAGCTGATTTTGTAGAATATTTTATAGACTTTCCTTTAAATTTAATATGTTTTTAGCCTGCCTTTTAGGTTGCCTTTGCTTCAGCTAGGCTGTAGATAGATAACGGATGAAGTAACTGGCATTCAAACTTGCAAAATATTTTGCAAGATTTCATCTCTTACCTTCTTCTGACCTTTATAACACATTGGGTATTCGATGAATTTTGGTTAATTTTTTTTTATTATTTTTGTAGAAATTCATATTTCATGAAATTAATGCAGAACTTTTACGCTTCTGCCTGTGCAGCAATTTGGAGCCCATAAATCATTTTAATATACAACCTAAACTGAAGAGCAAAACAAACACCGGAGGCATTTTTATTTGCCTACGTGTCTATTGTGTGGACTACAGCCAGCCCACTACTCGTACATATCTCATCATGCAAATCTGAAATAAATCTTAAATTTTTGTTGCACGGAAATTACGCCCAGGCGGTCAGCAGTTTTCACTCCTGCTCGTTATGAATAAATGGCAAATACCAAATGCCAGCAGCTGAAGCCGAATGCTGATTCTGATCTGTGTGGGCGGCATTTCATTGGCGGATGCGTGTGCTTTTCGGAACTTTTGTGTTTCCATTGTTGTGCACCGTGAAGCATGATTAGATTTTCATTTGTTTCGTCTTTTTTTTTCGTTTGTTTGAATAATTCACCAATTAGCCGCTATGCAAGCAGCATGGATGCGTATTTCCCAAGCGCCGCGGCCATGCAATGAGCCTGTCGCCGCGTCTCAAAAATCAAAGCGCGACCCACAAATTGAAATCTGCGTGGACTGGGAAAAGTAGCGCGAGAAGTTTTTCGCAAACGGCAATTCTCTGTTATTTCATTTGCTTACTGATTTTGTTGATGTTGTTGTTGTTTCTGTTGTGCGCCGTTTGGAATTTTAAATATGGCGTCTGTTTTGTTTGAAAACGGAAACGAATGTCTGTCAGTTTATTTGTTTGTTTGTCTGTCTGTCTGCCTGTTTCTTTTGGTTCGTTTGTTGTTGATGTTGTCGTCGGCAACGTCGACGACCCCAAATGAAGTCAAGCAACTTTTATGCCGCTCCTTTGGCAAAGGAAACGTCGTCTAATGTGTTAGTTTGTGCATTCGTGTTCCTGTGTATGTGCTTGTGTGTCTGTATGTTCGAGATTGTGTGTTTTTGTAATTGTCATTGCCAGTGGCGTCATCGTCGACCAGAACACAGAGGGGTTCCTTAAATACCAACTGTCCAAAGTCCTTAAATTTGTTTTTGGTCCCAAAATACGGCAAGTCTTCTTTTTCTCCCTAAAAGGACATTTTTGAGCAAATAGGCCTTTTTTGATTTTTAAGTAATATGAAAAGATATATCTCAGCAAAAGTATTCAACAGAAAGGCATTTATTTAACAAGAATAAAAGGGATTTTCTGTTGGATTGTTGCCTTTCACTTTTAAAATATTTGTTTTAAAAATTCTTTTCCTGCGTAGTCTGCTTTTCTCAAGAAGCCAGTTTATCTGTGTGTTTTGTATGAATATATATTTAGAATCAATTAATATTACAGCAATCGCTTGCGATAGATTAGACAATATATTAATATTACATCGATTTGTATCATTCATTTTAATTTGCTTCGACTCAACATTATTATGTGCATTCAACCTAAGCCTCTGTTTATTTCCAGCGTAAACTGTTTGAATAACCAACTCACATAAACACAAACAGCACAACAGTG